CACTTGATTTGAATAGAATAATTTAACACTAGGATAAGATCCGTGCCTTGCGCGGGATGAAGTTATTATTTTTATTATGTTTTGGAAAATGAAACAAAAGTTCGGTTTCATCTAGATTAATGATGTTCAATCTGGATATCGGGTTTCAGTATTTTGGTTATTAAAATATAACTACTATTCTAAATCCATATTTACTTCAGTTTGATTTGGTTTATACATTGGTTTTCAATTTATTCAATTTTATACCAAAATACATCATTATTTAGTTTGAAATCATATTATATATTATAAAAATAAATAATATGATCATATTTAGAGTCATATTGTCAAAAAATCATTTACTAAAAAAATATTATATATTTATTTAATAGAATAAAAAACAAAAAAAAAGGCTTCTATGATCTAATAAAATGATCAAATCTAGAATTAATATCAAATCTCTAAATTTTGAAAATAAAAATAAAAACAAAACAGAAGCATGAAAGAAAAGTTTTTATATTCTTCCATATTTAGTGTTCATCAAACTAATATGTCTTCGATTGAATACAACTCTGTTTGTTTAAAGATTAAAAAAATTTGTAAAGAATTTCAACTAATTGTTGTCCATCAAATTTATAATTTTTACTTCAATTTAGTTTTTATTAAAAAAAAGATAAAAAAAAAGACGAAGAAAATAAGAAGCCTCAGTTGCATTAAATTGTTAGTTAATTATATTTCAAGTGTTTCAAGTGATTTACAAATCATAATTATAGTTCAACTCATGTAACAAATAGATATACATATTTACATTTTTCAGTTTAATCGATTATAAATCAAACCATATCCAAATCTTACGGTTTTTATAAAATCACATACATCCGGTTTGTATGGTATATACCAAAAATAACCATATTATCGATTGTGTTAATATCTTTAAAAAATAGAAAATTAAAAAAAAAAGAACTAATATATTTAAATCATTGATAACAAAAAATTTCAATATGAAAAATTTAATACGTTTATAATTTATAAATATTCTTGAAAATTCATTGAAATTTTTGAAATTAAAATAAGTATGTAATCTTATATGGTATATAGTTTAATCTATATTTTTTTTTTTATTAAATGATACTTTTTACTCATATGGATTTAAAATCATGTGTATCTTTTTATAATAAAAATGTTAAACTATTGATCATTAATTTTTAACATAATAATTTTAATAGTTTTAGTCATTTATTCTTGTTTTTTTTTAAATTCAAATATAACATATACGAAAAAGAAATCTAAAGTTTAATTCTATAGCTAATTTGATTGTTTGATTTATTTTAATAATATAAAATTATAGAAAAATGATGGAGGAGATACAAATTGTTATCAAATATTTATTATTAGAAACATTAATTGTCATATATATATATATATATATATATATATATATATATATATATTTGTCATTTATGGTAATTCCGTAGCTTTTATTTAAGGAAAGAAAATAAAATAGTAATTATAAATGTTTCTATCATAAATATCATATCATATAGTTTGACCAACAAATGTTTCTATCATAAATATCATATCATATAGTTTGACCAACAAATATATCTAGCGACATATAAAAATCGAATGTGGACCTACTTATTTTTCAATTGAATGTAATTGACTACCTAATTGAGTGACACGTAAGCATGGGCTTTTTTTTAATTATTACAAAATTGAGGTTACAATTTTTTAAATGTTTCTCAATTAATATATAGGGGATATGTTTGCAATCGATTCGATTTATTAAAAACGTACTATTACATTATACTTACAAGAACAAAAAGAATACAATAAAACACAAAACAAGATTCAGTTAAAAAAAATGCAATACAAATAATAATTTAATGATAATCTAAGATATTTATGTACAACCAATATACATGTATATAAAAGTTAAAACAATGCACCCGGGTTAAAATTCTAGTTTATTCTTTAAATCATAACAATTTTAAAAGCTGGCTCTAAAACGGTTGGAAATTATATGACTATAGGCTAAGACCTAAAATTTGACAAGATCTATGGAGCTACATATGCCGCATTCGTATAATCTGAGCATATAAAGATATAAAGAGAAACCCAGATATGATCTCAGAAATCCAGTCAGCCTTTGTTATTGGGAGACAGATATCTGACAACATCATGATTGCTCAGGAGATATTCCATGCCTTACGAACTAAGCCAAGTGGACGAAGCAAAAGGAAGGCCATTAAAACAAACATGAGCAAGGCGTATGATAGAACGGAGTGGTCCTTCATCGAGGCAACCATGAGAAAGATGGGTTTCTCAGAAATTTGGATATCCTGGATAATGTGTTGCGTAACATCAGTCAAGTATAGAGTCCTTATAAATGGACATCCAAGAGGAAATATCATCCCGGAGAGAGGTCTACGGCAGGGGGATACCATGTCACCTTTCATTATTATTCTATGCATAGAAGAGTTCGTTAGCCTTCTAACTCACACATGGAGTCATGGGAAGATAACGGGGATGTGTACCACGCGTGCGTGTCCTTCGGTATCTCACCTCCTTTTTGCTGATGATAGCATGTTCTCCTGAAAGGCGGAGCCCCGTGAATGTGAAGAAATAATGAAAGTAGTCAGAAAATATGGACAAGCTTCAGGACAATTCATTAACTTCGATAAATCTTCTCTACTCTTTCATAAGAGAATCAGACAAGATGTTAGGAAAGAGATTAAAGACACACTTGGGATTCAGAATGTAGGAGAGATGGGAACATATTTAGGAATTCCAGAGGACATCAGTGGATCTAAATGTAAGCTTTTTTCTTTCTTAAAGGATAAGCTAAGGAATAAAGTAAATGGATGGACGGGCAGGTGGCTATCAAAAGGTGGTAAGGAAGTTATGATCAAGTCGATCCTGCTAGCACTCCCAACATATGTAATGTCTTGCTTTTTGCTTCCGTTGGAGATCTGTGATGTTTTAGCTAGTGCCATTGCACAATTTTGGTGGAGTTCGAACCCCCCAAAAATAGGTATACACTGGTCAACATGGGATAAATTATGCTTATTTAAATAGGAAAGATGGATTGGGTTCAGAATGATTCATGAGTTTAACTTGGCGTTGTTAGAAAAGCAGTTATGGAGATTGGTTCAATTTCCAGATTCTCTGGTAGCTCGAGTCATGAGGGGACGGTATTATCGATTGAGCTCGTCTTTGCGTCAGCTTACTGTTAGTAGTCCATCGTATGTGTGGATAAGTATATCGGCCGCATGGGAATTACTACTGCTGGGAGTTCGATAGAAAATACATTCCGGATATGAGGTGAAAGTATGGGAGGATCCATGGATTCCCACAATTCCAGTGAGATCAGCGTCCCCATCTGCACCGGTTTTGCATCCGAACATGAGAGTGAGTGACCTTATTAATCAAGAAACAAAGTCTTGGGATGTGGGCCGGCTGGAGAACTATGTAGATGCTGCAGACATACCACTCATAAGGAGCATGGCCATTAGCTCAACACATCGAATGGATACATATTGCTGGAGCTATACAAGAAATAGACAGTTCACAGTTAAGTCTGGATATTGGATTGCAAGGAATATATTGATGAAGGAGGAGAAATATGTAGTTTGTGAACCTAGTATCACAAAACTCCAGGCACATGCTTGGAAGGTCAAGGCACCTCAGAAGATGTGTCATCTTATGTGGCAATTAATAACATGTCATGTGGCTGTGACAAGTACTTTGAACAATATGCATATGAGATGTGATAATCACTGTCCACGATGTGGGGAACTAGAAGAATTTGTTACCCATGCAATCTTTCAGTGTCCACCTGCATTGCAAGTTTGGGCCTTATCATCTACGCATACCAACCCTTCCTTGTTTCCACTACAAAACACATATGCGAATATGAATTAACTCTTTTGGAGAAAATATTGCCATAATGGATCCAAAACTGGACAAGGACCCCTATCCCTGGCTAATATGGTATATTTGGAAGGCTCGAAACGATAAGTTTTTCAAAGAAATTGATAGAGATCCATTGGAGCTAGCCCGTTATGCAGAGAGTGAGTATCAAGCCTGGTTCCAAACCAATGAGAAGTCTATGATGCCATCTCAAGGAAACATAGATATTGAAAGTCATGCCATCAGTTGGGAAATAATTGTATGGTAGACGGTTCATGGACCTCTACAGCTCAGTACATGGGATGTGGTTGGGTTTGGAATGATAATATGGGAAATTGTCAGTTATTAGGTAGCGTAATTTTGATAGAGTGGAATCTGCTTTGCACTCTGAGCTGGAAGCAATGCAGTGGACAATGGAGAATATGCTTCAACATTCGCCATGTCAGAGTTTTGACTGCAAGGAGATGATAGTGATGCTCAGAAATCCTCATGAATGGCCGAGTTTCTCAACGGAGTTGGAAAAACATGACACTGCGGATTTGCTTTTCAGATTTCAAAATCTTCTATGTTCCTAGGGCAAATAATGGCTTTTCTGATTCTTTAGCTAAAACTACTTGTTCTTTCTATCGAGATCTTTTGTATTTTGGTTGTTCTATTACGGTCTGGATTCTCAGTCCACTTCAAGTTTTAGTAATAGATCAGCTTTTCGATGTAAAAAAAAAAAAAAGGCTAATCTGCATTTTTTATAATTCATAAGTATCATATGATTAGAAGAAAACGATCTATGGAGTTAAGGATTGTTTATAAGTTTTCTCTTTAATTGTTAGGCAATATTCAAGGAAAGAATGAGAAAGCTGGAAATTGACACTTTATTAAGATTGGCCGGTTAGACAAACTTATCACTTTTAAGTCTCCATTCCTTTAAGACGTACAACAGATGCAGCTTTTTGGTTTAATATTTATATAACTTGCACTTATACCAAACTTTTAATACGTATAAGTCATGTGTATGTATAGATGTGTGCATATAAATATACTAAGAGAGGAGTGAATATCAATCCACACAACCAATCACTTTATACCGTAAAGCAATAACACTCAATACCCTCATGGCTACTAAATTCATCACCCTCGCTCAAGTCCACCGCCCCAAAATCTCAATTTCGACGCGAAAAGCTCGTAGATGCAACCAAAACAAGCCCCAATCATCCAAATCCACAAGCGAGAACATGTTCAAGAATGTTTTTCCTGGCAAAACGCTTACGGAGATCTTTCAAAATGACCTAAACAGTTCAGACCCTCTTACTAATTCACTACTCTTCATAGAACATCAGCCAGATAAAGAAGAGGAGTTGACTCAACAAGAACACGGGCAGGTGTCCATATGCAATCGCAAAGACGAAAGTAAGTCGCTCATCGCCATGAAAGACAGAGATTTGAGACGTGAAGTTGCTCAATTAAGCTTGTTGTGGTACATGAAATGTTCCATAAGCTTTATATTAAGGAAGGCAAGAGCGTTTTACAATGAGTTTTCTTGTGATACTTCTGCTGGGAGTAGCACTATGGTTTTGGTCGATCCATATTTTTCTGTTCCAGTTCTACCCTACAGTAATTAGTTTAATATCTCCAAGTCTACGTTATTAAAGTTATTAGCAGCTTCGTTGTGTTGTAATGCGTTGAAAGTCCACTTATGTGTAAAGAATACGTGAACTTATGTAACTAATACTGTTGTACTTAAATTAATTATGTGTAGTGTTGTGATTTGGACTTACGTGCTATCATAAAAACACACTTAAAATGTTAAAATGCCGAACAGACTAGAGCTAAATAGTTTCGTATTTATGAGCTATGAAATAAATAAATAAACCTGAACATTTCGGAAATACTAAGACGACTTTAATTTTAGTAATGATATATAAAGTTTGAACTTGTATGGTTTAACACACAAATCACTCTGAACATGTATTACATATATATACTATTTATATACAACAAATTAAAACATAAGGTAATGAATAGATCTTGTAATCCATTCTACAGTAGTTTTTCACAACACATTAGATTGAATCAGATTTCCCAAATAATAGTGACCACACGAATTGTGAAACACTAACATAGAACCTAATATATGGACCAATGTTCAAGAAATCGTTATGCAGTAACTACGCTACTTTATAGAAGATTAGTGAGTAGAAAGATTATTCAAGGTCTAGGTGAGGCTTTAGCGTTAATGGATTATTGAATATACTTTATTTTGTATATATATTACAACTATATAAAATATATTAGTTTGTGAATTTAGTTATAGATTTATTTTGATGAATTATCAAAGTAGATATCCAAAAAAAATTAGATAACTTAGTGGATTTATATCATTACTTAATTTAACCAGTTTAGACTCATTTAGACCATTTTAAACCGATTCTGAACAGTTTAAACTGATTTAAAATTGTTTCGGCTATGGCAGAATTATCGTCTAATCGCTGACTAAACGGAGTTTTAGAACCATGATATATACCACTAGTTTTGAGCTTACAATCAGGCTCTAAAATTAGTATGTTTGTTATTTGTTACTGTTGTATACTGAGAGATAGAGCGGGTCTCAAAACTAGTTAACAAATTGTACAGTGAGTGTATTAATTTATGTTGTACGTATGGATAGTATCAAGACTGTCCATGCATAAAGAATCACATGCACAACGTTTGTAACTATATTATCAAATTTCATGAGGACCACACATTTAAAAATACTTCTATATGGTCCTCTACACAAGTCATAAATGTTTTTGCACCGTTATATATGGTAATTTATGTCGACTGCTCCCTGTCCCATTCAATCGAATTACATGTTCTGATGTATGCTTTTGTATAGAGCTTGCTGTAAATTTGGTATTAAGCTTATTTCTTTCATCACAATTTGATGTATGCTTAGGGGTTTCGAATTTCAATGTATACTTTAATCTTGAGGCTCAATTTGAGTTCTTTGCAATGCTGAACGAGAAGAGATTGATCCCTATTCAGTGGAGCTGAAGCAATTCATAAATTTATAAGAGGTAGCAATCTTGCTACTGAGACCTTTGTTCTTGGATCCAACAAGTGTAAGTTTTTATGAAGGAGCGATTGTTATGAAGACCGCGGTTTACGCATAGGTTGCTCTGTGAGTCCACTTCACACTCTGCTCACTTTCAATCTCGAACCCAGACCCCCTCCCCCTCCCCCAAAGGCCAAAACACTTGTGATTTTACTGTGTTCCTCTTGCAGATATGATTGATTGATTGGTTCAGCTTCTAAGCTATGGCTGTAACTGATCACTTTGCATCGGAGTCGAGTCAAAAAAGCTTCTACCTTCATCTTAGGCGAAAAAACACGAAAACAAAACATTATTTTCTTTTACTAAAGTAACAAACTACGACTATCTTTTGAGAAGTGTTATCTGAGTTTGACAAAAGTTTTTTCCTTTATGCCCATCAGATAACCATTGGGCATTGGCACAAGCCTTGTGGGTACACAAAAACAATTCCATTTTGTTAACAACTTGTATAGCAAATCTCTCTTCTGACACTGTCTGCTATTACCTTGTTGTGGATTGTCGAGCAAGTGCCACACGCTTCAGAACGATTATGTGGCCTATGTTATCTCCTACAATCATCAAATATTGTAAGACAAGACACAGAAAATGTAGATGAACAATCTAAGAAAAAAATACACAGAAAACGAAGACAAAGAGACTGCTGATATAATGGAAACTCTTATCTTCTTACTATTTGCTGAGATGATGAAAAATTCAGAGAACAAAATCAGTTTTTATTTTTAGTTATAACCAGACTAAATGTAATAAACATCCGTAACTTCAAGCACTGATGACAAGACAAAGGTTTGAACATAACATCTCATCTAATCATCATCTTTTTGCACAAACTTAATTAACTGTTGTCATATACATACAGGGGGTTGTTAAATTGAGTTTCCTTAATTATCAACATATGTTTATTAATGATTAACTTAATTCAACAGTAAAAACTGAACCTAACTAATTACCTTTTAAGGAATTAAACCGGTGATTCTGTGAATCTCATGGTCATCACCTATCCAAAGTAAAACCAATCATAACCATATTCTTAAAATCAAAACAGAGCTCTTTGTTGTAATATCTACCCTTATAAATCAATAATATGAAGAAAGATTGCAAGACTCAACTGTGGAATCATGAAGTAATCACATCAACAATCTATAACATTTGAAACACTAGATCTTGAATTAAACTGTTCTCCAGCATCTAGCCATCTCTAAAATCGTCGAAACATAGGCAACATCACTAAAACTTAAATCTACAAATAATGATTCAACTTTTAGTTTTGGGTTGAATGCTATTGGTCCCAAAAAATTACACAAAGTGATTGACAATTCAAAGAAAAAAAAACTTGTTAATTCTCTATTTCTAGGTTTGATCTTATAATATAAGTTAGATATTAAGAGAGAAAAAAAAAAAGACAAACCAAAAATAACAGAGGAGAAAAGTATAAAACTTTTAGATCTAATTGGATTGCTGAATTATTTGATATCACGATCGGGGCTCCGATTCAGTTGATGCAAGGCGGGAGAGCCAATCCCTGCTCACAAACCAATAAGGAAAAAGGCACGTGTCAGCGAATCAGTCCCGACCTGCACCAAGCGAATCCGAGCTCGACGGTGATTCTCTCTGGGGAAAAGAAAACGAAGAAGAGAGAAGCACGAGTTTAGGTTTGTGTAACGGCGTGATAAGGCAAAAGCTGCTTCTGTTTTCTCTAGGACACCATTAAGCTGAGACAACCTTTTTAGCCTTATAGTTGACAAAACAAAAAAAAAAACCTTAGCCTTATTTGTAGGGTTTTTAGTACAGGTAACAGACCAATCATCTATTAACTGGTGAAATATATGATTTGAGAAGTTCACATATTCACCTACCGTAAAAAAATATCAAATTAGTAATACCTATTATTTTTATAAAATTATTGTTTTACAATAAAAATTATAGTGAATAATTACCTAAATGATTATCTAGACCAAGATAAAAGAACTAAAGCTAGATAACCTAGACATTCTCATTTTCTTTGTTCGATTTTATCCTATGTTATGTCTTAGGCTTTTGTCTAGACCTGGGCATTCGGGTAGTCGGGTCGGATTCGGGTCGGGTTCGGGTCGGGTCCTTTCGGGTCCGGGTCTTTCGGGTCTAGGAGTTTAGGATCCAATAGGATAATTTCTAATTTTCGGTTCCGGTTCGGTTCGGATCGTACCGGGTCCGGGTCGGGTCGGATCTTAGATAGTTGGACCCATTCGGGTAATTAGAATTTATCGGTTCGGATTCGGTTTCGTTCCGGGTCGGGTTCGGTTCGGTTCGGATTCGACCTAAAAAATACCTAAATATATAAAAATAATATCTGAAAATATTTATATATCCCAAAATATTCCAAATTTTATTCAAAATTTGTGTTTTTATTATATTAAAATGTGTATATATATTAAACTATGCAAGATACAACAACAATTTGTTGTCTCCTAGTGGTTGATCCCCTTACTCTCTATAGAAACAACCCGTCTTCGATTCCCCCTTAATACATTTTATATAATTTACACTATTAATTCAGGTACCCATCAAGTTTCGGGTTCGGTTCGGGTTGGGTCCAAGACCCGCGGGTCTTCCACAACAAGACCCGATAGGGTAATTTCATCGGGCCGGTTCCTACCCGGACCGGGTTTTTTCGGGTCGGTTTCGGGCCGGGTCTTCCGGTCCGGATAAAATGCCCAGGCCTACTTTTGTCAAACAAGTCGAAGAACAAAAAGTTCAAGAGAAAACTCAATTAACAAATCATACAAGAACAATATTGTTTGGCATGAATAATTCATTTTTCTCAGTCTAATTACCACATAATATGAATTAGTTACCAGTTAATACAATACTTACCCCATGTAATCAATTTAGGACAGATAGTTTATCCTTTATAACATTTAACCAGTGTTTTTAAACCCGACCCGGACACTGAACCGGACGACTTACCGGGTCATTGGGTCACTGGGTCGGCCGCGGGTGAACCACGAGTTAATAAATAAAATTTTATTATATAATAATATATTAGCTATGAAAATAAAAATATAAAAACTAAAGTTAAATATTTTCTAAATGTTTTAAAGCATAAAATTTATATTTATACAAGATATCAAAACTTGTTTATACTATTTAATTTTTTTATAATAAATTAAGAGTAATGACATCTAAAACATTAAGATATAAAATTCATAAATATTTAAATGTCTAATGAGAATAATAAATTAAACTTCAAATACAAAATAAACCAAAAGTAAAACATCATTGTACAAAATTATCAATAACAAAAATAAACTAACACCAAATTATATCAACTAATTTTGGTTCTAACTACCACCCTTCAGTTCATTTTCTTTAAGTGGTATAGTGAAATCTTCATCAAAATTTAAAAATCACAGATAAAATAGTGTAGTAGGTATTAATATTGTAAAAAGTTAGAAAGTTTAATCTAATTTTAAAGAAGAAGACAGCAATGCCAATAACTAAAACGTGAAAACATAACTTTTAAATTAGAATTTAGAATTTAAAACGGAA